AAAAAAAAAAAAAGCCCAAGTATGCATTTTATTCTGATTGTGAAATCTTTGGAAATCCAATTCTTATTTTAAATTCTATCATTAAAAGGATTCTTCCACATATCCCCACATAGAAGACTGACTCACCTTGGAAGATTAGTCCTAACTAAATAAATAGTAACATTTACCATGTGTCTTCCTCTGAAACTATTTTCTCTTTTTTGCAGGCTGCTATGTGTTACATCCATATAGCGGCCCTCATCGCAGAGTACCTGAAAAGAAAGGGTAAGATGACCGTGGGAGAGGGGAGAAGTTTGGAAATCAGCATGTTGAAAGCCTCGCTTAAAATTTATGTATTAATTTTAGATTTTATTAATCTCAGTTATGGTTTATTAAGCAGCATGAATTTTCACTGATATGTCGAATCATGTTGTGCTTTTAACTTTTAACTCTCTCTTTTATGCCATGATCATGTTTATCTTATGCACAGCCAGGCTAACTCACTGGCTTCTTAGTTCAAAATGAGAATGCTTGATTGGTTAACCATGTGTAGTTTCGTAAGCTTGAATTAACACAAACGTGTAGCAATGTCCTAACGTCATCTTGCACTACCATAGGTTACTGGAAAACGGAAAAGATTTGCACACCATCCCTGCTCCCGGAGGATATCCACCCCTGTGATAGCAACCCATTACTAACAACTCCCAGTGGAGGAAGTGAGTGGTCTAACTGAGCTCCTTTACGCCAGGAACAAGGCAGAGGAAATCAAGTTGCTGCTTAAATTTCACTTCAGTGGAACTCTTACATGTATTCTTAGAAGCGAAATCTATCTCAGAACTACATAATTTACTCTGCAAACCCCAAAGTTTCTATCATTCAGAAATCCCATCCAGTCAAAATTTGTGAAGTTCAGATTACTGAAAAACTCTCAGCAAATAGAACTGCATTTTATACGATATTATTATGAGTTATGGCCACATTTTTGCTACCAGTTTGCCTGTTAGGCTGCCTTTGGGATTTTATTCTGAAGTTGATGAATTATTTAAATTGCAAGAGAAATCCATTTTAATTTTGAAATGTAATACAACAAATAAGGGATGCAAAAATGGAGACATGTAAATATAGTGCATATACAGGACTCTATTTATAATCAGCATGTTCCATTTCCTTTTGAAAAGCATAAGCTGATTCTAACAATTTTCAACATATAATAATTTGCAATATTGATATACTTAAATTAACATATTCCATCCTTAATGTCTGATAAAAAAGATTTTATAACAACAACTAGGGAATTACTCTTTGTAAAAAATTTAGCACTACAGTGAACTCATGTGATAAATTTTCTCTTGCAAAACTTTGTTCAAACCCAAAGTTTATAAACTGCAATCTATTTCAAATAACTTTCAAAATGCTGAAAGTTAGGGTCTAGATAACTCAGTATTTGAACAATAGAAACACATCTTCAAGTAGTAAGATCAAAATACATAAATAAAAAGTAAATGGACTTGTGTTATAATATTTTGGAAGCATAATTGGTCATTGTTCTTTTAAGTGTGCGTGTATTTTCTAAAGAGTCTCAGTGGACTTTGCAAATAAGACACTTGAACCAAATGACCAAAGTGAACAGTGAGACAGTGAGGTCATTTGTCTGAGGGCCTTGGAGAAGAGACCAGACCTGGTGTTGTGGCTCATGCCCACGCAAACGTTCAGGGATTGCCTTCCTCAATTTCACGCCTCTTATTGAGGCTGATTTTTATATTCATGCCATCAGAGTTATCGTTGCTTTATTTAACATTCCCTTCCTCTCTATTTTTTTATCATGATTATATACTATACAGTCCCATAAAGACTCTTTCAAATTCTAACTGAAAACAAAATTGGAGAAACCTGATAAAACTAGATGTCAGTTTGAGAAGTTGTGGGAACTCATACCCCAAAATGTTGTGTGAACCTTTAATATTAAAAAAAAAATTTAAATACCCACTTTTAGATCTAAGGTAATATTAGACTATAACATGCCCTTTGAGAAAAGAATGTATTTGTTTAGAAAACTTTAAAATAAGGAAGGTGATCATTTATGATGCTCTAGTATATATTTATATCCATTGGCATACATATGCTTTAATATGTATGTCCTCAATATGCTTTAATGTCATGATGTTTCTAAGTGAAAGAAGGAAATTATTCCTTCGCTACAATGTGTGCTTAATATAGGTGAATATAGGCAATTCCAGGAAATACAGCTGTAATAATGATCATCATCCTGCGAGAAGTATGTCATGCGTTTTCCTACCACAATCAATTCTCGTGTATTTTCAATATAATTATAGAAGGAATGTTATTATAAAGAAGTAGGAAAGTAGAATGTTTTAATGCAAGGATTAGATTGCAATAATTATTATAAGCTCTAACATGTTTGGGGGTGATAATTTAGTTGCATAGCCAATGAACTGATTATTAAAAATGAAAACATCCCACAAAAGCATTAACTATAACTTAAAAAGCACATATTCTGTGTAATACACTAGACTGGTCTCTAGGCTGGCAACATCCCAATTAGTTACCAATAACAAGTCTATGGGTTAGGTGCTATTGTCACCTCCTGTTTACAAGTGAGAAAACCAAAAGGAGTTAACCAGCCTGCCCCAGAGCTCATGGTTTGTGTGTGGTGAGGCCATAGTTCAAGGGTCGGTCTGTCCCCCAGGCTGTGCTCTAACTCCTCATATGCCCCGCCGTTCAGATCCAGTCACTTCTCTGGGGACATTACCCATTAGCAACTGTTTACACGTGAATCTGCAGAGCCAGACCTATTTTAACCTTGGTGGCCAAGATGCTAAAAAAAATTTAAGAAGGTTTCTAGATAATGCAAAAGATGAAAAGTTAGTGAATACTGAGCATTGTCTTTATAACGTAGTGACCATACCGGACATTTTCTCAAATGTTAATATTTTGAGTCCTTTCAGCCATTCTTTCAGATACCTATTAATGTCTCCAGTTTAACAAATGGGAGAAACGGGTTCAAAGAGGTGGATGAAACCAGAACATTGAAACTACATCAATCTACAAATTTTGTGTTCTGTCTGGAATCCCATGCCAGCTTCTTATAGAAAATATGTCACCTGAAAATAAAACAAATTATAAAAGGGTGACATTGGTTTCCTGGCAGAGAGTATTTATCAACAGTCATAATCTAACCATCTTGTTGACTATGTGAGAGTTATAATACTACCACATGTAATGTCATGAAGAAAGGCATTACCTAACCCAACCAAGATTTGGCTCAAATAATAATGCTGCATTTTGCTTGGTCCTCTCAAGGCATGTTCTCCATGGGCTGGCCAGCTTTTCTGAGCATTACACCAAATATTAAAGAAGAAGGAGCAATGAAAGAAGATTCGGGAATGCAAGACACACCATACAATGAGGTTAGACCTAAATAATCTAGTGTACAGTAACTGAGTAAACAGATGAATTGAATTGTAACATTAAGCTAAATAGGAGGTAAAAAGTCTTATTCAGAAATCAAATTAAGTTACTGCCTATTATGACTGAGGCAGAATGAAGTGCAGGCTAAAATTAAGCCAAGATTAACTGATATCAACTTGCACTGATAAAGCATAATTTTCAATGAAAATTTAAAGCTAAGTTGTACTTCTAAGATGGACCTAAATATCTATGATCAGCTCTTTTATATGGTATAAACTCTCTAGTCCTTGGGTAAATGTGGTAAGGGATGCTGAGATTTTTGTGAGCTGGTTACAACTCTTTTTAAATGCGTTAGAAAGTTTATTTGCAAATACAGTTGAACAGAACAGCTCTCTAGTTTCTTCAGAAAACCTCCTTCTGGTATACAAACCATGGTTAATTTTCACTACTCGAAAGCAGCTTTCTCCTGGGGATAACTTAGCAACAATTCTGGTGAAGAAAATAGAGCTACTCTCACCAAGTAAAATATTGCATAAGTTAATTTTTAAACACCATACTATTACATAGATTGAAAATAAAGATACAGAAAACTAATTTGGGAGTGGATTTTAATGAAATTTTGCATGTAGTTCTACATTAATTTAATATACATTGCAAATAAACAGCAAATGATCTTGCAAAAGATTATTTCAAATAATGTTTAAGAATCTGTTCTTAAAAGACATTGTTGAAACAATTCCAACAATAGTATCCACTTGCTTTAGAGAGTATATAATTTGATTCATTTGAACATTTATTAAACCAGTAGTATATGTGAGGCATTGAGTTAAGGGTGAGACAAAGGTAAATAAGGCATAATTCCAGCTCTCCAAGAGTTTAGAACCTTCAGAAAGACAAACTTCTTTGAGGGTGGGGAATCGCCAGTTTGAGACCAGTAATTTCTAGCCAGTAGCTATAAATCTAGGCATCATATATGGCTGCAATTAAGAGGGGAACAATTTTTTCTTGCATGAACGTGGTTGGAATGGGAATGGGACATAAATAGAAGTTCTCCAGACTTTTGCACTGGGTCTTGACATTCGATAGGACTTAAAGGTGCCAGTGAGAAAATCAAGTTCTTATAGGTGCCACAACACAACAGGCAAAAGTGAAAATTAAGAAGAAAGGGTCCTGAGAATGCTTTGGTACAGCATGATATGGCCAAAGTGCGAAGTTAATGGCTGGGTGCTGGGAGATGGGGCACTGAAAGGGAGGCTGGCACCTGATGATGGAGCTCCTTGAATGCCATGCTAGAGTCTGGACAACAGTTTGGACACTAGTGTGGAGTTCCCACAAAGTTTTAGGGCAGCAAAGATCTCATGATCAGATTTTTGTTTTAGACAAAAAGATTACTGGAGAGCATCCTATAGGGACAAATTGGAGTGAGAAAACATTATCTGGAAGACTACTGCAGGGGTCTGGGAGTGAAAAAACAGGGGTTTGGTCCATCAGTGACCGTGGGAATGAAAGGAACTAGATGAATGAGGGCATTTCATAGATTTAAATTAGCCAGTTTGAGGGACTAAGTGATGGTCATTAAAGAAAGGGAAGAATCCAACAGGACACCGCAGTCCTTTGCTGGCTGCATGTAAAAGCCAATAACAAAGATCAGCAACACAGACATCCCACTATGAAAAAAAACTGACAATGTACCAGTTTTGAAATTAAGTTTCAGGGATGAGCTACAATATAAAGTCTTGCTTTGTTTTGGGGAACTGCAGAATATCCTGGTGGAGCAGCTGTACATGTGTGTGGAGTTTCTTTGGAAGTCGGAGAGATATGAACTCATTGCTGACGTCAACAAGCCCATCATCGCCGTCTTCGAGAAGCAGAGAGACTTCAAAGTAAGTCTTTCCAAGACCTAACCATTAGTTAAACTATCCTACTATACACTGGTCAATTACTTAATTATTTTCAGAAGTAGAAACTCCCTGTTTTTTATGTCAGCATCATCTTCATGAAACCCTTCAATTTGTGATTTCAGAAATTATCAGATCTCTACTACGACATTCACCGGTCATATCTGAAAGTGGCAGAGGTCGTGAATTCAGAGAAGCGACTGTTTGGCCGGTACTATCGTGTGGCATTTTATGGGCAGGTGAGTTCACTAGAAGTAGCGTGGCCTTTAAAGTCTACTGAGCAGCTGAATGTTGTCTTTCATTCTTTATGAGACATCTAAATATACGTGCCAAATGATTGCGGGACTGTGGGTATAGGTGTGGGCTTGTCAGGGTATATTTGAGTGTTTCTCTGGATGTGCGAATCTATATGTTTGTCCATAGGAATGTCTTGGGTAGAGAACTCCATGGATCTTTACACAGATCGAGTTAAAACAGTGATTTTTAACTCCTTGGAGAAAGTGGTCACTTATTTTTCAGCATCCTCTTCTTCTCAGTTTGTTCGAAAATATCTAATTATAGGTTTGGGTCATATATTAAAGTGAAATTAAGTTGAACGTGTTTTAAGAAATGAGATTCATAGCATTCTAGGAAATAAGGAATTCCTTGGGGTTCCATGATTTCAAAGCCATGAACTTTTGACTTTATAATCATGCATTTTCCTTTCTCCACTTTCAAACAGTCGCTGCTTTAAGGCAGAATACTATATAGTTGTTTTGTTTCCCACAGTGCAGGTCAATATAATTTTAAAGTTACCTTTCTCAGTTTACTGCATAAACAATGAACAAGGTTGAAATGTTAGCTAGCCATAGCATTGGCCTGAAAGTAAAATAAACATATTATATATTAATTATGAATGTCTCTGAGCAGTGCTTTAAGTGGGATAAACCCAGGCACCATCCTGTTCTTTTTGGGAAGGCTTATAACACTATTATATTTCAGCAGACATATTTTAGACTATTACACTTGTGGGCAAACATTCCATTCTTGTATGTTCACAGTTGGAATGACTCTCAGCCCTCTCATTTTCATTTCTTTTTTTGTTTGTTTTTCCTCCCCTCATATAAGCACTGGTGCACATAGCTTCTTGTTCTCCTCAGAATATTTTAGAGCTTCAATGGAAGGAGTGAAATGCAGCATGGTCATTCTAGATCATTTCCTATTGAAGAAAAACACATGTTTTCCTCTAATCACCAAAGGCAGCTTAAAAACTAACTTTTGAATTAGAAAAAGAGAACAGCTCTCTACCTGGAAAGGAGCATGTCCTGAGTAGCACTTACCATAAACACATGAATCCACCCCAGATTTTCCCCAGTGCACAGCAGCGTCAGGATTATGGAGACACAGAAAGCTCGAGGTGTGGGGGATGGAGATGTGGGGAGACAGTCTACAGACAGAAGCTAAATTTAGACATTTTGGGGCTCTCTGGAAAAGAACCTGAACAGCCTGATGCGGTAGTGTATGTTGGGGAGAGAGAAATGTGGCAATCTGCAATAGAAGAGGAGAGGGAAAAGGAAATGATATCTTGAAAGTCAACAAGAAGCAAAAAATAAACAAGTTTTGACCTTGCTGAAACATTAGCAAGAAAAATGGCAGGAAACTCAATCAGGAAGGGATGTGGGAGCTGAGGGGTTGAAGAGGAAGGACAGGGTCTCCAGAAATGGTGGTACAGCAGGGGCAGGTAAGGTGTGCGTGCAGACAACCTAGACTGGGGTCTACAACCCTTCAGGTGATCTTTCCAATGGAAGGCATAACGATTTGCCATTAATGCCCTGGTCATGAAAACCGGATTGCCCACCTGGTAGTTTCTCCAACCAATGTCTAAGATGCTGGCTACTGAACAGGGAAAAACTAATCCAGCCGCTTTCCAACTGGATTTTAATACAGATGTTTACTCTTTTCTTCTTTTGGTCTTGATTTCCAGGCTGTGGTAAGTTCTCTCTCTCTCTCTCTCTCTCTCTCTCTCTCTNCAGACAGACATGGCCTCAGCTAGAGGATTACAAGAAGGAGGCCTGGGGCTTTTAATATCCTGTCGGGGCTGAGACTAAGGTGTGAGGTGAGTGAGGCACTCACCTTAGGCACAAAATTGAAGGGAGCATTAAAAAAAAACTCAGTAATCAAGATAAAGTAATATTATAATGCAATATTTTTAAAAATCAAAAATAATTTCAAAAATCCATAATGAACAAAATATTAAAATTTTGCATAAAAGCAGGCCAGTGACAGTGTCACATGGAGCTATATTGGAGCCTAAGACAGAAGGGAAAATCAGTAATGTTGACCCAGATACTGACCTGGCTCCCCTCTTCCCCCCTTGTCTGTGTCCCCCATGGCTGATTTACAATAATAATAATAATAATAATAATAATAATAAATAATAATAATAATAATAATGAATTTTTAAAAGCCACCAAGTGAAAGAAGCATTATTATACTCCACACGGGACAGGTTCCCTCAGCACAGAACTGAGAGGAAAGTGGGGGTTGGATCTGGAGAAGTGGAAGAACACATCCAGTCCTGTTGACTCATTCTAGCACACTCGCAGTGCCTGGTAATCAGACATCTGAAGATGGCTCCAGTCCAGTATTAGCTTCCTTCTCCTTTTATCCTACTCCTTCCAAGCCCCACAGTCACACTGAAAGATTATGAGCACTAAGGAATATAGACTCTTTCACTAGTGGGAGCCGGCTCATGTGTTGTGCATTCATTCAGCAAATCTGATAAGTGCCTCTTGGACCAGAATCTAAGCAGGCCTGCCAAGGGAAATGTAATAGGACAGTAATTCCCAGGGCGTGTGGACACCACTACCAACATGGAATGCCTTTGATTAATAGCTATGCGTTTACTTAAATGTTAATAGAAAAAAAAACTAGCACATCAAACACTTGACTTCACAGATGTTGAACTTAAATGTATTNCTGAGCCGCCTTTTTTTTTCTTCTTAATCTGTGAAATGGTTACAATTATGCTCATTTTACAGTGTAATTATTAGTATTACACATAAATTCATGGGTTTCCTCAAATTTCTGGAATTGCTGAAGCAGTAGATGAGTAAATGGATGGGAAAAAAATGGACTAGGTTTGAAAATTCTTCAAGAAATCGTTAGAAAAGAGGCTGAGGACGATCTCTTCCAGCCTGGAAGGAAAACAAGAGCAATTCTCCAGCTTTTGTTTGACTCCCCAGCCTGTCTCCTTCTCCTGGGCTGTTTGTCAACCCCGTTCACCAGAGCAGAGGTAGTAAAGACATGACATACAATAATTTATTTCAGGTAAGAGAAGGCATTAGAGAAATTGGAAATAAAAATACCTGCAATCGTATGATAGGCTAATCAGCCAATCTGCTAAACAGACAAGGAACTGTCTTCCACATTACAAGCCTAGAGTGGATGGCCCCAGTCTAGTGCATAGCTGAAAGGGAGAGGAACAGAGAGGTAGAGTTCCACTCTCAAGAAGCTTGTACTCCAAACAGAGGTAGTAAGGACATTCATTACAGAAGAAAAAGAAAATAAACGATTAAATAATAAGCCAGGTACGTAGGTTTTGAAGAGCCCCGGCTACTTAGCGAGCTGGCGCCAACACTATTTCTATCACTATCTGGCTGCTTGCCCAGTCCAGGCAGTCACTGTTTCTGTGGCCCCACCCAGCTCTGAAATGATAAGGAAGCCCATTACTCTCCACGGGGAGAGAGACAGCCCCTCTTCCCCCTGGAGGTCAGCTGGGGAAACGCAGAGCCTCCTGCGTTACTGGCAGCAGTTCCTTAGGGCTCACCCCTCTCTCTTTCACGTATTCACACAGGTAAACCCCAAGGATTTGGACCCCAAATATGCCTACATCCAGGTGACCTATGTCACGCCATTCTTTGAGGAAAAGGAAATAGAGGACCGGAAGACGGATTTCGAAATGCACCACAACATCCGCCGTTTTGTCTTTGAGACGCCCTTCACGCTGTCGGGCAAGAAGCACGGAGGCGTGGAGGAGCAATGCAAGCGGAGGACCGTCCTGACAAGTAGGTGCAGGCCGGCCGCCGAGCGGCCAGCGTGACCTCCTGTTGCTGCCAAGGTTTCTTTATTGGGCTTGACTAGGGAAAACCAAGACCTTCCAGTCTTGTAGCCAAGTGGAAGGAAATGTGCTAACTCGGAATTGTTTCCCAAGAAGACCAGATTTCCCCTTCTTTATTCTCTGTAAGAGGGGGGCCCTTGAGAAGTCAACCAGGAGAGAAACTGTCAGTAGAGTTCCTTTACACACGTCTTCCCTTTAGATCTTACAGTCGTGAAGGTCACGGTGTGTGTCTTGGAAAGGCACGCTGCACGGGCCTCTACTCTCTCTCTGAATTGACCCTCAGTTATGACCCTCAGTTATGTCAGAGTTAGCAGCTCTCACAGTTGTGTGCTTTGGGGCCAGACCCTCAACCACTCTGGAATTCAGGCTCCTCACTGTAAAATGAATGCAGGGGACCTCCAGCATCCCTTCCAGCACTATCTAGATCTATTCTGTGAGTTAATGGCCCCTTCATGAATTCAACGAACTTTTTAAGGAGTACCTACTAGGTGTTGGGCATTGTTCTGGCAACTCAAATAAANACGCCGTCGCCGGCGACTCACGACAGCCCAGCTCCAGGATGAGCTGTTGTTCAGCATCTTAGCTGTGGAGGGCAGTGTCACTGGCCCTCATATGTGGGATCCGAACCGGGGCCCTCTGGCGTCCCAAGGCAGCTCTTAACCAATGTGCCACTTGGCCGGCCCTACTGAAGTACAGTTTTATCATAATCTCCTGAAGTTTCATAATCCATGCATGTTAACTCTGCTGACTCAAAGTCCTTCTTTAACTAGAATATGTGTGGTTCCCTAACCATGAGAAATCAGGGCATTTATTGCACTGTAAAATAACTTTTTAAAAAATCAAACTAGCAAGGGAAATGCAAAGGTCACATTTCCCATTGCCTTGAAATGCAGTCTACTCATCACCTTGGGGCTAAAATAAATGAGAAACTGACCCTAAGTTTTCATCACCTTGTGTCCCTATTTATAAATCATTTCTTTCATAGACAGAGCTGAAATTGAAACCTTCTTTAAGATAGTGTCCTGTGGTTCCATGGGCTTGGCTTTGATTGTTTCCTTGGGTTAAAGGTAAACATGCATTTCAAATAGTTTTAGAGCTGCCATTTCTCTGGCTCCAAAAGCTCTTACATAATCCCTGGCAGACAGCAAACCGAACACTTTATTCTGCTACTCCTGCTCCTTTCTATTTTTATAAAATAGTCTCAATAGGTGTATAACTCCATGCGCGTGCGTGCGCGCACGCAAGAGAGAGAGAATAGATAATAGATAGATAGATTCAAATCACCATTTCTTTCTAATTAATCACTTACCAAAATATCAAACCATATGAGGCAGAACACAAATTCCTTTTCTGACACAGAATTGTCTGCTTTATCGTTGTCGTCATCTTCATTCTCCTCATCATAGCTAACACTCACCAAGGGCCTATTCTGTGCCAGGCATGCTTAGGGCCTCCCCATAGATTGCTGAGTCTGTGCTGTTTCCCACCCTTCAGACCAAAAAGTAGCGATGAAACTCACAGGTCCAGTAAGGCCATAATGTTCATGGTAACGACAATAAAATCTTGCTTCCCACATTCCTTTTCTGTTAGCTCTGGATTCAGAAATATGTTAGGGGGAGGACTCACAGTGAAAATGTTTCCTTGTGCTCATTTTCACACCATGGTGAGAAAATCTTTTCTTGAGGCTTGAAGACATTTTTGTCACTGACATGGCAGTTGTAAATGTCGGTTTAGCTATTGCCCTGGGGAGATTCCGGTTGATGGGCTCAGAAGTCTTATTTCTCTGATGTGTCAGTCTGTCACTTTTAGACAGCAACAGAAAAAACATAGCAGGCTGGAAGTCATGAGAGAATGAGGCCAGGTCTCACTACCCTACAAAGTCCAGAGAAACAAGGAGCTGCTTTTCAAGCTTTCAATGTCATACAGCCCCCCTTTTTTTTTTTAGCAGCTTAGGGTCAAGGTACTCATAATCAGCTGCACTTGCCCTTGAACATGTCTCAAAAAAATTGTTCAATTAAAAACAGTGTTATTAAAAGCAATGGAATCTTTTCCAGTTGTACCTGGTGCAAATATACCTTTTTAAGATGTATGGCCACTAGAGCTATTTCATTCATATGTTTGTTCATTTAATAAATGTAGAGTGGCATCCCCCTAAAGACCAGGCACTGTGCTAAATACTAGACACACAATGGTGAACAATACAGTTTCCTGAATTAAAAAAGCCCAAAGTCATCTGGGGAGACGCGCAAGAAAACAGACAATTACCAGCTTGACAAGAACTGTGCTGGTGCTGGTGCTTGTTTCTTGGCTTCTGCAAATGTACATTAGTTACAGCCCACTTATGATACAAAGTACACTGTTTGTGATGTCAACCATACCAGGGTAAAAGTGCTTTCCAAGTAGAAAGTCACCATACAGACGTGAGTTGAATCATTATTTTTAGATCACCTCACATCAGCCATGAAAAAAAATCCAGCCTGGTAGCACTTGATCCATGTTTTTTACGTATAATGAATATTATTTAAAGAGTCAAAAAGAATATATATTTTTAAAAGTACAGCTGAGAGTCTTTGGGACCTCCAGTATCTTTACCTGGCCTTCTGAAGTCATTTCCTTGAGGTAAATTCTGCTCTCAGGAAAAACCAGGCTCATATGGGTTCTTAACTCCAGACGTAATCTAGTATTCTCAGGGCACATGTGTCCCACAGGAAAAATGCTCTGTGTCTCTTCAAAGAGAAGGAATTATAAAGGCTGCCTCACTTACTTATCTGCAGATAATTGAATCTCCCCTTCCCCCTGTTTCAAACCAGACAAATAAATTAATAGAAGCTAAAACCTACTTGTGTATAAAAATGATGACACAGTTACTTTACTCCTTTCAATCCTGTAAGGTCTAGCTCTGCAAGAATGTAAGAGGTCTACTAGTAAAGTCAATTAAATTATGAAGTTGCATATAGTCAATTTGTATCAGGCCCCTGACAATAATAATGTAAAGATATTTTTAAAGCAACAGTGCTATATGAGCACGTCACATGTAATTTCTGTGATAACAATACAAGTGTTACGGCTTTTCATCTAAGCTGATGTGGGGTGCAGAGCACCCCATTTAAATACCTTTAAAAACCCTACAGTGTTTCCTGTGCAGGCTTCAAAGGCTTTTAGATGACCTTGTTAAAACGATACCGCTCTTTGAAAAATGACACAAATTACTCCAGACTCTGTGCTCTACCCCAGGATGCCACACGAGGGCGCTCTTCCCCCAAAATATTATATATGCAAGCAGATATTGCCATTGATTTCCACCAATAGAGAAAAATATGTGTGAGATATGATATTCTTTGCCTTCGCTAGGGAGTGTTTCCATTAATAACTGATTCTAACGTGATATTTTGTTTTCTTCACTTGATTTTTCTCTGATTTTGATTTTATAGGGTGCTAATCAACGACTTGGATGACAACCAAAAGACTGGGTATATTGTCCAAGTAAATGGTTTTTGTTTTGCTTGTGATATGCAATTGGAGTTCTGTAATAAAATTGGTGGTTCATTATGTGTCTTCCATAGGGTTTTTTTGAAGAAGAAGAAGGTAAAGAGTATATTTATAAAGAGCCTAAGCTGACAGGCCTCTCCGAGATTTCCCAAAGGCTGCTCAAGCTCTATGCAGATAAATTTGGAGCAGACAATGTGAAGATAATCCAGGATTCCAACAAGGTAGAGGCAAACAACATTCATGCAAATGTGAAAAATTGACTTCATTTTAATTTTTAAAAATATTTTAAACCATATTTATTAAAATTTTTATTTTCTGGCTGACTATACAAAGTAAACCACCTAAACTATTTTAGGTATTTTGCCTGTTTGTTCATTGGTTAGCCAATTGGTGATTTCCTTTCTCTTTTTCTTTTTCTTTTCTTTTTTTTTTTCTTTATCTTTTTGGCAAAAACATTGTGTTTATTTGAGTAACCTTTAGGTGATCATAGATATGACTTTCTAAATTTTCTACTTTTCCCATAGGTTATTTGCACTTGTATAGCAACCAAAGAGTTAAAGTGATTGGGCCCAATAGCTTTAACTCTATTGGAGCAAAAGCAAAATAGTATTTATTCTTTCATGGAGGCTTTCCTGGGTCATACCAATTTTGAAATCAATCCTCTGTGATCGTAGCAGAGTTGCTGGTTACATTGTATTAACCTATGAACATCCAATTAACCTGCTTATGGCTCCAGAAAGCAAATGCTTATATACCCTGATTATTCAGAATCCTCTAATATGCTTTCATTCCTTTAGCCAACCTCTATTAGGCACCTACTGCATGCCAGGCCCAGAACTAGGAGCTGGGCATCCAGAGTCCACCGTTCACTTAGGGCTAAGAAGAGAAGGCTGTGTGCAAACAGCTAATTAAACAGAGCGCAATGAAGTACCATGGGAGACACGGCACAATTCGTACAGGGCAAGCTCGGGGCAGGGGGATCCCTGACCAGCTCCTTCTTGGTTAGGCAATGCTTCACAGAAGAGGGGGTGCTTGAGCTGGAAATCACAGGTCAAGAATGTATTTCCTGGAAGCAAAGGGCATTCTGAGCAGCCCAGCACATGCAATGACAGGGAGGAGTAAAACGGGAAGGTACGTTTAGAGAACGGCAGGTCTTTGAANTCTCTCTCTCTCTCTCTCTCTCTCTCTCTCTCTCTCTCTCTCTCTCTCTCTCTCTCTCTCTCTGCATTTGCATGCTCTAATAATCCTCACACTTCCCTCCGTGTGGCTTTACTGAACCTTAACTTTTTTATGCAAATCGATGTTTGGTACAAAGGTGAGATAATCCTGCTTCCATTCACTTTGGAGTCATCCTGCATTTCTTGAACTAAATTGTGTTTACTCCAGTTATCTGAATTACAAAAATGTATCATTTATTTTTCATTTATTTTTTATATATAATATCTTCTATATAATGGCAGGTGTAGTCTGAAAACCTACACACAGGTACATATGGGCACCACATATTTGAAATATATATATATATAGGAGATTCAATATTGAAGATTGACTGTTCATTTCAGGCCACTGTGAGTTGCAGCTGATTAAAACAAACAAACAACAAACAAAAAATGATGGTGGTCAAAATTTCACAAGTTGGAGTGGTGGGAACCTTGCTCTTTTCCAAATTTGAGTCTCGTGTAGAAACAGGGCTCTCTATTGCATTGGCTCTCTGAGCATTCTCAGAGGTGATGGTATTAATTCCAAATACAAAAGATGAACAGTGGACTAAACCTTTACCTGGTAGGTCAGGTTAAGCCCACTGAGATACAGAAAGAAGTGATGTAAGACATTTGGAGGACAAGTGAAGACAGAAATAATGTGCTAGTACCTAGCACTCGGTGACACAAATTTCCTTGTGTTATTTTGAACCATATGAAATTGTCTGTGTTAAAAAACTTCTTACTGGAAAAAAAAATGGCAACGTCATGTGATTCAACATAATTGTTGATGAAACTGGAAAGACAAATTCTTTCACTATCCACAAGCTGTCAGTGTTCAAACTCTGCTTGTCTGTCTAGTACATACTTTTTTGTAATTCTTTAAATCCCTTCCCACATCCGTATCACATCGGTATTTTCTACCTTCACTTATAAATTTGGGTCATGGGTCCTTAACTCATCTACTAAAAGAATACTTGAAACCCTTATACTAAATAGACTGAGGGGGCGATGGGGAAGGATTGGGGAGAGTTGCTTTCAAATGACATCACTTTGTTCTTTTCGCAGATTCCTCGGTAAAGTGTGCTGATTGCACCGCTGGCTTTTTCTCTTTAATGCTGCTGCCAGCATTCTCAGTTGTCTTTTATTAAAAATTCCAACCTGAGCTTAAAAGGCAAAGTGTTCTTTAAAACCTGCAGAGCTGAGTACATGCCGAAGCGCGGTGCTCTGTGAGCTCAACCCAAGCTGCCTTTGAACAAGGAGCACTAATGGAGGTCGTCCTGAAAAGCAGCAATTTAGAGCCTCGGTCATCATTGTTCAAATGATGTTCAAATACCTGTCCCAAGACACCCAATGGAGAGTGGGGACTATTATATTGAACAGGGCAGACAGTGCCCATCACTTGATGATAACTGCCAAATCGATTTGAACATTCCCCTGAGCGTATGCAGAATGAAGGTTCCAAAGATCTCAGATAACGTCTTGAGTCCCTGATTAGCATAATCCCCATGGTCAAAAATAATTTCTTTTTCATGATGGCAGTTAACGTTCCTGTAAAATCCACCATTTAATATCCAGATTGACATGTCTTGCAACCATGTTACCAAGATTATGCGAATATCATATGCAATGGGCTGTTCGCCTCCACAGAGTTTTTTGGGTAAATCTTTTAGGGTCCCATGTAGAAAATGCTTTTATTTGACAGTATTGGAAAAAGTAGTTAATATATGTCTGCAATAAGCCAGACCCTAGAGAACAAGGTGGAAGTTCATAAACTTAAACCTTGCCTAGCATGAATTTTCTAATGCAAAAACCTGGCATCATTGCTTATGGTGCGTCCCCAACATGTCCCTGAAGTATTCATTTCCAGGGTAAGGAAATAGCAGTAGTGATCAAACATCAACTGTAATCAGTGGAGCCCTTAGGCTCTGATATTTAGCATGAATGTAAGCAAGTGCATGCATGTTGCGTAACTTAAAACAGCAGATGCCCCTGGAATGAATTAAATGAAAGGCCTTGGGGGACTTGTATTCCATTCACCAAAAGGTGGAGATTCCTTGCTTCTCAATCAGGCCTACATGGGTGTAGATGCATCTCAGAATCTTGATAAGAAAGGAGTTGGGAGAAGGAGGGAAGGTGACTATAGTTTGTAAAGCTACTGTCTCCATTTTCGGATGTAATACAACCTTCTGGCTCCCCACCTATCGGAAAGTCACTGATATAGACCATCTATATGTATAACTGAGCTCATATTTATATGGAACCATTTCTCTGCATTCCTGTCGCTTTTCTTCTCTTAGCATTTAGCCTATTATTATTTCCTGACCCATCTTTTATACACTAGATTCCACTTTCAGGGTTTTCCTTTGCTTGTGAGCTTTGAATCAATCGTGTATAATCGCAGAAGCATTTGTATTTGACATCCCAGTAATGATCCAGGGGCATTGCAAGATCCTGCAGTACTGCAAAAACATCTAGGAAGGAGTCAGTGATTTTAGTTGTCAGTTTACTGAAGTACAGTTTTTTTTTGTTTTTTGTTTTTTTTAATTTTTTATTTTATTGGGGAATTGGGGGGATGGGAACAGTGCTGGGGAGTTGGGGGAAGGGGAACAGACAAGTTGCTGTCGTTTTGTTCTTCAATCTAGTT